AGCAAGGAGAAGCGGGAAAGGAAGTGAAACGCTTCCCGTGGCCATTTGGCTTGAGGTAGGTCCAACCTTAAGACACTGTGACATGGTGTCACCCAAAAAGTTCACATTGGAGAACCATGCAATCAAGTTACCCAAAAACAACTTGCAAAAGGCCACTAAAATGTTTTCGTGTTGGGTTGCACTCATAGACCTCTGGGGTGAATGGGGCCCATGGGCCATGGGTTAGACATGTGGGGTGTATGCCATCAGATATACCAAACACTGGACCCGGAGAATGGGGAGCCAGGTTCTGAGGAAGAAGCAGCTGGACTTTACAGAATCCTCACTGGGGCTGCATGGGCCACACCCCCTGGACAGGAGGGGCAGCTGCCAGGCTGTGAAGGACATAGACACCTAACAGTGGGTGATCCCTAATGGTCAGAGGTAGCTCAGACCCATTCAGACCGTCAGGTGCCTCCAGGATGGAATATGATGACCAGAAAAGAGGCAGATGTTTCAGAAAAGCATGTTTGGAGTTCATTCGCTGATGGAATATGAAATATTTTATCACCAATAACTTCGGTTGTGTCTGTTTATAGGCCATTCATCAAGTTGCTATTCCCTTAATGTGGCCACACGCATATTCACCAAAACAGCCAGAGCACAGAATCCCTCCCTGGACCGGACCTGGTGGGAAGCAGGCCTGGTCAGGAGCCCTCCCTGCCCACATTGCTTACCCACAGCAGTGTGTCTGTGGCTAGAAAGGCTTCAGACCTTCCAGAGAGCCTGTGTCACGGTGGCCAGGCCGAGAGCACCAGAGAGAAACAGAGAGAAGAAAGGAGGCTGGGGGGCCACATCTGACGGCCACGTACATTAGCCTAAAGGGGAGGGTGGCTGTGCATGGTGTTACCCCCAGTGTGGTGTGTTCGGCCCTTCTCCAACACACCCAGACAGTGGGATGCCTCTTCTTCACACAGGTAAACAGCAGAGCGTCCTCTGCCAGAACTCACAGTGATGAGAAAGACAGGGATCCTAGATAGCACCCTCAACTCTGTGTAGTCCCTACCTCTCATCACAGTCCTTTGGGCCCCCAAGTGTGAGGAAACCATCCTCCTCAGAAAAAGACATGGCACCATTTGGGGATCCCCTTCCCAGCATGTGGGGGACCGTGATGACCAGAAGGCCACCCATGCCCTGGCCACACTAGAACTCAGAATGAGAACTCCACAGAGGGTCCCGGAAAGGGGATTCATCTGATGAAAATCCTGAAACACTCCCAACTGGTCCCTAGGCAGTCCTGGGGCAGCAAAAAATGCCCCATAGCTCCCCAGGGGCAGCATCCCCAGTCCTCACTGTCAGGATGTCACAGACCTCTCTGTTCCCCCAGAGGAAAACTCAGCCCCATTTCCCAGGGGCTGAGATCCTGACTGCCCTGTGTGGTTTCTTACTAAACAGAACTCAGAATAGCATAGGGAACACCTTTGCCTGGAGGTCGAAGGCCACACAGCCTGGCAGGAGGGGAGCTCCAGAGTTCTGACAGTGGCTTTGGCAGGGCAGAGCATCTGCAGGATCGGAACAAGGGTGCCATCTCTCTTCTCTCGGGGACACTGCTTCCAAAGCAGCAACAGCAACCCCTCTGAATGGCGGGCCGTGTGTGTGGTGTGGGTGAGGGGATGAACGGACACTTGCACCTGTAGGGGCCACGGGACCCTACAGGACAGCATCCCGGAGCCACAGCCACAGCTGTCCACGGGGTTTGCTGGTTATGCGCTCAGGCTGAGCTGTAATGTGGAGCTTCACGGAAGGCAAAGTGGAGAAACCAGCCCTGAGCGGGCCGAGGAGGAAGTCCCCTGACCGGGATCATGGGCCTAGCCTTTCGCTAGATTAGGAGGCAGACATGAAAGAAACCAGGATGGATAGGGCTTTGTCCCTCTCCAGACATTCCAGGTGTGCAGGCATCAGTATGGGAGCTGTCTCTTCCAGGACAAAGGCTCCGATTGCAGGCCCAAGATGCAGAGTGTGTGTGAAAGCTGCCTCCCTTAGCACAAGCCCAGTGGGTTCAGTACCAAAAACAATGGGAGTTAGAATGAAAGGCAGGGTGAGTGTTTGGTCTGCTGGTTACCAGCGAGCTGGTCCCACGTTGAGAAAGGGCGGTTCCTGAAGGGTGGGTTCAATATGGCCAGGCAAATAGGCCACATACAGCTGTCCCATCAGCAGGGGTGGGTGCCAGGAGGTGGCAGCATGGGGCAGATGTCTGGGTGAAGCACCTTGAGGAGCTGGGAAGAATGACCTGGAGAGCCACTGGCCCTGACCCGCTGTGAAACGGTTCATCTTCAACTCAGAATGTAACTCGCCGAGCAGATCCATCTGCACGGCCACCCGTGGGCACAGAGATATTTACTGTGCATTTGATGTCCCCAAGCAACACAATCCAGAGCACCCAATGAAACTGTCCGTCTGATATCTAGAAAACACACCCCAAACCCTTCCCTTTCTACTTACATGTAAGTTCACTTCGCACTTTGAGCTGGTAAGCCTATGAAGCGATCAGAGAAAACAGCTGTTGGGGGCCTGGCTGTGTCTACTGTGCTGTGCTCCAATCATCCATAAATCATCGAATTGCCAAGTCCAATGACTTTTCACACCTGCACTAACTACTCTCTTCCAAACTGTCCAAGACCCTAAGGCCTCAAGTATGAAAGAACACTAAGACTAAATGAAAGCGAGAAAGGGGAGAGGCAGGCATTAACATGTCTGTTTGGCCTGTTACAGAAAATTAATTCCTCGTGCCAATTAGACCCTTTAAACTGATGGCCCAGCTTCATGTAGCAATCCTTTCAGGTCTGACACCAGTCTCTGCTGAGCAGGGGCCTCTGGGTGACAGTTCAGAGCTCTCTGGGTGTATAAGGAGTAGCTCACAGCCTGAGGACATGGTGCAGGGAGGTCACCTGGGACAGAAGACTGACCCACAGAAGCCTGGGCGGTGGCCCGAGGGCTGCAGGGATACTTCCCCAGCAGTGAGAACACAAGCAATTCAAGAACACTGTCCTTCCAGAGACTCTGTCCCTCTCTGCCTGCTCTGGGTCCCCAACAACTGCACACCTCCCCCTCTGGCCTTGGCTGGGGCCGTCAGCTGGTAAGGTTGTGTACCAGGGTAACGTCCTCAATTGGACTGCCCTTCATCTGCCACCCGACACTGGCTACCACACCGTGTCTCTCCAAGATGGCTCTCGTGGTGATATGGGAGACAGGGCTGGGGCATGCAGCCTGGAGAGGGGGTATGAGAGAGCCAGAAGGGAGAGAGCGGGACCACCACAGGGATGGCAGCTTTTTCGAGACAGGGTTTCTCTGCTTTGTGCCTTTCCTGGGACTCACTTGGTAGCCCAGGCTGGCCTCGAACTCACAGAGATCCGCCTGGCTCTGCCTCCCGAGTGCTGGGATTGAAAGGCGTGTGCCACCACCGCCCCGAGGGATGGCAGCTTCTAAGCGGTGAAAGAATGCAGTCAGGTGATCGGCAGAGGCTGACAACCGGCCAATAAAGTGGATCTCAGGAACACCCTGCCTGGCCGGGAGGCTCCACCCACAGCATGTGGCTGCAAAGCTGGGGGAACAAGAGAGGAGGTGCTTGGAGACCCGCTGAGTTGGCCGTCTGGGGGGCAACTACACAGAAACCCCGTCTAGGTTATATGATCAGAAGACAGGCCCAGGCCAGAAGTGCTCATAAAGCCGGCCAGCACGGCTAGGAGTGCTCGGGAAAGTTATGTGGACAAAGCCCATGAAGAGGATTTGCAGGGGCCAAATCGGGTTGAGCGCAAATACTGCAGTGAGCTGAGCAGGGCAGGCAGCACCAGCTGGAGTCAGCAGGAGCTGGAGGCCGTGGAGAAAGGATGGGGACCCCAGCTAAAGAGAGGCAGTGGTGAGAGGCAGCAGCCCCAAGAGAGAGGTGGTCTTTCGGGACACTGAGACGGGGCTGGTGGAACCAATGGCAACGATCAAGCCTGAGTGAAGTCTCAAGCTGTCACTGGAAGGGGAGGGGCTGCCTAGAAGCATGAAGGCCTGAAGCCCAAGGGCTCCCCTCTGACACCGGAAAGGATTCTGTCATAATGTAAAGCAGTTGCCACCACCAGGGGAAGGGCTGTGTGTATGGAGCAGGCCTGTGGTTCCTCTCATCTGCCATGTGGCCTGGAGAGGCAGCAAATGTCACCACAGCATCCGGCCTGTTTCTCACCTTTAGGACTGAGCACACCTCCACAACCACACTCCCAAAGACTCCTCCACTCCTCCCACATACACCTGAGCCAACAGTTATGAGGGAGGGGGTCACATCTGCACCCACTGCCTGGACACACACTCGGGACTTGAAAACTAACAGGTGAGATGAACAGCAATGTACTGCTCAGCAGAAATGGAAACAGCCCGCACTTCAAGACCAGCCTCACACTCCTGAGGTCAGAAGACCAGCTTCCAGGGGAAAAAGCCTCGCATGGGTTTCCTATCTTGCCTGGAATTCACTCAAGTTTCTAAGGTCATGACTTGGTCTTTCTCTGACTCAGTCACTGGGAAAGAACTACTGTGTTAGAATGGATGAGCGTTTTTGTTCACACTCGTCCACAGGCATTACAGTAGCCCACTACACACATTGAATGTGTCCTGTCGCTTACAGTCATGCTTACCAGACTCCCCACAATTCACATATTGAAGGTGCATCACGTTTGGGAGCTTGAAGTGTGACAGGGTTGATTTGCACATTTCACTGGAACCCTGAGTTCGGAGCATGGTACAACATGGTGTGCAGAGTCCTCCAGAAGTCTTCCAAGTACCCACATGTGGGGCTGGAACTCCTGCTACAGTCACAGTGGCCTTCCACAGTACCTAGGCACAACCCCATCGAATGAGCTAACGGTAAAATGACCCATCACCACTCTGGCCATGGTGATGACCTCAGAACTGTATTTAACCCAGCAAGCAGCAAATGCAGAAACCGCCCACCCTTCAGAGGAAGCATCCAGTCAACACAAAGCTGGTTTCTAAAGTTTATTAAAAATCAAAGAATAGAAAAAACTTTACATAAAAATATGTCAATTTTAGTGTCCACATTGTTGTCCACACACAAAATTGAAACATGATCTTTTTGTCAAACTGTAGCATGTGGCCACAGTGGTAGCCAGGCCAATTCATCTGGTTCACCATTAGGGGGATGGACACATACCTGTGCCTGGGATAGTACTTTAAAACGCACATCTGCGGGTCACTCACACGGCCCCACGGTGGCTCCTTAATGCAGATACAGTCAATATTGCTAATGTGTGATTAGTACAGGCCTATGGACCAGTGTTCATAAATATTCTTTAGCAACAGGTTTCACAATTTAAATAGTTTTAAATATTTTGGATGATTCCAATCCTCATGAACTGCAGACCCCATGTGCTACTTTACTCTGCTCTGGACTGTCTCCCATAGGCAGTGGCCCCACCACAGCAGCGAGAGGCAGACCCAGACACGCAGAATCTGTCCTTGGCTAGGCGTCCATCACATTCAGACATCAACCTACAACCCCCACTGCTGCGTGTCAATCACAAGTCCCGGCAATCAGCTTCTTGTCTTGACATTCTCCACTAGTGAACCTAAAGACCGACCTACCTGTAGTGTTTCGCAGGGCCAGAGCCCCATTTTAGAAACGGAAGCCAGAGGGCCTACAAGATGCAAGCACTCCCAGGACAACTGTGGTGCTTCAGAGACTCGGGGTTAGGTGATGGATAGATTCTTGTCCAAAAACAGTAACGAAGACAGTGGTTGTTGCGGCAGACTACTTGCATAGTATACCTGTATGCTTCTGACGCCAGGCACCAGCCGCTCCCGGGCCCACGCTGGGCTGTGCTCTCCTGTGATACATTAATAGACTCCCCGCGTGCCCTGAACAGCGGAGGTACTTTTCAGATATTTGCTCTTAACAGAACGAGTGCATACCGCTATGCAGATTCCTCAACGGAATCAAGGAAATTCCTTTCTCCACATTCCTAATCTGGGTGCCATTGTCTGTGATGATACTCACCAGGCCCACGGCTCTAGACCGCATCACTTAACGGACCGAAGCACGTCCACAGTCACAATACTTTACGATTTGTACGATGTGACAACCTCTTCTCCCCTTAGAGGTTTTTACTTCTGGCACTTTAAATGCTGGATTTGCTGTCTAGTTTTTAAAAACCCAAACCAAAATGTCAGAACTTGTGGTCAGAGCAGGACACAGCCCAAGGCCTACAGCAAGGCTGCCAGGTATGCACTGGAGGCCTGGGAGCTGAGCGCCTCACAAAACCATCAAGATGACTTGGCCCCTTCACTGCATCTGACCAAAAGAAAAGACGTAAAAAATAAAGCCCACAAGCCCCTCCTCACGGTGTTCATGTAATGACGTTTAACAGACAACCAGCCAACACGAGGAACCCAACTTAGAAAATGCAAATTGGGAAAGGATCTAAGCGTGTTTAAAAAAAATTCCCTCCTCCCTTAAATATAACTTATGTGAAAATATGAAATTAAATAAAAAATATCTGAGTTATTGCACAAATCATAAGTTTTCAATATTTACATAGAAAAACAGTCCCGAAGTCTCAAACAAGACATGAGGGCAGTAAGACGGCGGCCGCACACTCCCATGAGACAGACACGCGGCAGGGCCTGGCTCCTCTGCCTGGGGCAGGCGGACACGGCTGCAGAACCCCGCACGAGCACACCCGGCCCCTGCCACTCCTGAGCCGCCCTGGTGGGCGCGGACGAAGACTTCTGGGCAGGCAGACGCACATCCACATGTAGTAAGGCTTCACAGATGAGCACATGGAGCTGCTCTGTAAGATGGATGCGGCCACCACACAAACATGCAGAGTGACCAGTGCTGGGCGGCTCGGCAGCCCACGGTGGAGGTGCTGGATGCTGGCCTGGGTTCCCTGCGGTGCCCGAGGCCTATGGGCAGTCTGGGGCGGGGGCAGCCAGGAGCCATTATCTGCTGAGGCTCACAGGCAGGCTGTCCCTCGTGTGCGCGTGCTTCCTCCTCCTCCAGCCGGTGCGGTTGTACTGGTGGTGGCCTCGGTTGCCAACAGGGGGCCTCGCGGTCCCGCTGCCCACAGAGCTGTAGCCTCCACCCTGGGTGTGGTTGTGGGAGCCTTTCATGGACAGTTTCATGCCACTGTGCTGCTGGAAAGACAGAAAACAGGGCTGGAGTGCAGCACACGACCACAGAGGACAAGAACCTCACAGCCGCCGGGACATGCAGCGGGCAGGAGGGAACCCTTCACTCTGACAAGAACGCACTTCACTCCTGTCCTCCACAGACTTCTAACGCGTTCTGCTTCTCCGGAGCTATGAGACGGTCCTACAAACCCGGGCCCTGTCTGGACTCCCACACACGAGCCACGCATGCCTGCCCTCTCCGCAGCATCCTTACGGCAGCAGCAAAGCCGTGGGCTGCTCCCAAAGCAACTGCGAAGTGCACAACAGCAACAGGAGCTGCTCGGGAGCCAGGCGAACCCACCAGGCCGGGCCGCCCAGGAGGCCAGGACCGTGTGACAGCACCAGAGAACGCAACTGCGCTGCACACTGGGCTGGGTGAGCACAGAGCAGCCCCAGAGCGAGGACTGCGGCACTGACTGCTGCCCGAGCCGCACCGTATCCGGGGCAGCACCCAGCCCCGTGTGGTCATAGCCTTCGGTCTAAAGCCCCGGAGGACGGAGCAGGACCTCAGGGTGTGAAGCACTCCCAGGGCTAATGAGACTTGGCAAGACATGCCAGCACGGTCTGGCACAAAGTTCCCCACTTATGGCAGGGTAGACAGGATGACCCAGTGCCACACACTATGCTTGGCTTTACCTTCTGATTAAAAAAAAAAAAAAAAAACAAACAAAAAACAAAACTATGTGGTAAAATGAACTTGAGTACACTGAACACCAAGTGAGTCTTCAACTTTGACCCCTGCTCTCCTTTACACTGCAGTACCAGTGAAGACCTGAGGCTGCTACTATTTAAACTGTCAGGCTAGACCATTGAAACACTGCTTACAAAAGCAAAACAAGTATGAGTCTGCACAGCCAAGACAAAGGCCCCTTTAAAGCTTTCTGGAATTCTCTTCGAGGGTGAGGGGCCCAGGCCCAGCTGGAGCGGCTGCCATGGCAACAGGAGCCGGCACTCACCTTGTGGTACAGGTGAGGACTAGACAGTGGATTGGGGGACGCCGAGGGGATGGCTGGGGAAGTCACGTGGTGAACAGCCTTCAGAGATGTGGTTCCTTCAACACCAGCCTGTCTGCAAGGAACAGGGGCCACTCCGAGGGTCGGCGGGGGGACAGTAAACCTGGTCTGCAAGGAAAGAGACAGAGGCCTCCAGAGTGGGGGGAGGGACCGAGGTCCCCACCAGAGACCATCAGGCTGATCTGGGACACAACTCCATTGCTAAACAACCGGAGCTCCGTGTGCGCACTAGGGAGGGTCCCGGCTGTGCTGCTGGGGTGAAGCGTGCAAACACCCCACTGGGGTCATGCGCTTTAGCGCTCACAGCCGCAGAGCAGTCTGTAGGTTGATCTCAGGGGGCCAATGACTCCAGGAAACCCATCTATCTGTGTGTTCTGTGCTGCTTTACACTCGCCCCTATTCCAAAGCTGCTTTTTAATTGTTTTCCCCCTCTTGAGACAGGGTTTCTCTGTGTAGCTGTGCCTGTCCTGGAACTCACTCTGTAGCCCAGGCTGGCATCAAACTCACAGAGATCCACCTGCCTCTGCCTCCCACATGCTGGGATTGAAGGCGTGCGCCACCACTGCCCAGCTTACTTTGACTTTCAAGTAAATAATGTATTGAGTGTACACAAATCCAACTGATATATAATTGGTATGTATACACAAAATTGAGTATTTATATTTTATATAATGATTTTATATATTTAGAAATATATATTTATATATTTAGAAAGAATTAAGTTCCCAAACAATGTGTAATTAGCACAGCGTCCAAATCCACGCTAACACATCAATGGTCTGTACACTGAACTGAGGGAAAGAAAGAAAGAATCTACTTCAGCTAGCAATGGGTAATGCTGGGTAATGCCCAGACACTGTGTGCAGGACACTGAGACAGCAGCCCTCAGAGGCACTCAGTGCTCAAGAACTGCATCACACTCCAGCAAATCAGAGACTGTCTCACAGAATGACCAGGGTCCATTCTGCAGCCACCAAAACACATCAATTCCTAGGGTCAAAAGTGCCTACAGGAGACTCAGTTCACAGTAAACACTGATCTGTTCTCGTGTACTGCTTGGCTCGGAGGCTGTCCCTGGGGAGGATGCTGTACCTGATTGTTTGTTGTCATGATCAATGTTCTGGAAGCAGCAGGCTGAGGTTTGCTGCTGGGCATCGGCAAGGCTGTGGGCAGGCTGGCCATCAGGGTGGTGGGTGCTTGTAGGCTGAACTGACAGACACTGGGTGTGGTGCAGGCTGGCGCGTCTGAGTCCTAGAGTCCGGCACAGAAACAAGAGAGCTGTGAGCACAGTGTACTTCAGGGAGGCAAGCAGGAAAGAAAGGCCATGACAGCAAACCCAGCTGAGTGACAGGCGGTCCAAGTGTAGCCCGCTTCCTCAGTCCCTTCAAAACTGAGGAAGACTAGGCAACAGGAAATACAGATGAGACACGTGGGCTTCAGTTTATAAATCTCTAAACCAGATTTTTCAAAACAAACAAACAAACAAACAAACAAAACAAACACTAAAAAAAGTCCACAGCTTGGCTGAGTGCTATTACTACCTCGGTCAATGGGTCATGTAAGCAACACAGCCTGGTTTAGCCTGGGGTTAAGGCTTATGCCAAAAAAGGCTGAGCATAGACTTCGCTCGCACACACCCATGAACATCCAGGAAGGGACTAAGATGGAGGAGCACATCCCTGCTAGATAAAAAGGACACCGACACCACCCCACAGATGAGGGAGACAGTCAAGAGCAAAAGCCTACTCACAATATCACTTCCAGAGAGCGAGGACACGGAAGAAGCAGAGGAGCCTGAGGACAGCAGCTGGGGACTGGACAGGGACAGAGTCAGGCGCTGGCTGTAAGGGGAGCTGGGCTCCCGGCTCTTCATCTGCTCCCCATTGCAGGTGTTGATTCTCTCCTTTATCTTAATCCTGTTGTCTGGGGCAGGAAAGCAAAGCCTGGCTCAGTAATTAGTGCAATGTGCAGGCAGCACAAGGGCCGCTGAGCTCTGAAACGCTGTGTGTGTAACTAACAAACCAAACCTTAAGTCTGAATTAATCTAATTTTAAATGTGCATAAACTAGTTATCAGAAAACATTACAGTATTTGTCCAACGCTGGGTATATAAATCTTACCTGTAGCTTTTATAAACTATAACATAAAGCAAGTATTTCCAATAGAAATTCAGAATTCTGAAATACAAAGACACACTAGAATTCTAAGATTTGAAACGGGAAAAAACCTATCTCAATTTACATGTTGGAATGCAAGTGTCTGGGCTGAAACAAATGCAGCATTAACAGCTACCCTCGCCTGCCCCTTCCCACATGCCTACTGCAGCTTCTATTTCTATTAGGTCAGAGCTTATGGGATGCACGGCCTATCAGAAAAAGCAGAAAAAGGAACCACTTTCTTGGCTTGAGCAGCCTACAAGAGGGCAGGAGATGCTTCTGTGCCAAGGGGACAGAGGGCCAGGCCTCGCACTGTGTCCGTCTCTCACCCAGCTCTGGAGACGGGAGGATTCTGCTACCCCACTTTTCTTTGATCCACCTCCGGTAGTCAATCACTTCCTGGGTGACTTTGATGATTCTTCCTAAAGTACTGCAAAGAACAAGGTTGGACACCGACATCAGGGGTCAGGCGTGAGGCTCATTAAGGACAAAAGAAACTGAGCTCAGTGAACTTTACAAAACATCCGTGAGTTCTGACATGTTTACATTCAAGTGTACCCTGAGATCATGGTAGGACAAAAGGAGGTTCACTATGTAGATGTCCTTAACCAAGATGTGTCTACAAAAGATGATGGCTTCCATCCATTTCTTAGGGGAGCCCAGACTCCTATTCACAGCAGTTATGAAGTTCTGATTTCGTTTCCCACTGCACAGGTAGGAGAGACCCCAAGTGCCCATCACAAGGCTAAGGCTGGCCTGCAACACTGTACAGCCAATGGGCATAAAGCCAGTGTCATTCCTAACAGCTTCCTGGGAGAGCCCACCCCAGAACAGACTTCCTTCCTTCCCTTCGCTCCCATCCCCTGCCAGCCGTCTGCTCTCCACCCCCTACATACTACACAGCAGCTAACCTGGGGTCAGAGAGAAACATGTCTGACTGGAGGACAACGACATCTGAGGGATGAGGGAGAGCGGTGTGCTCAGAGGACTGCTCACATGCTAATCGTGCACACCTGACGGCGGCTTTACAAGTCAGGAATCTGCCCCCAGTACGGAACTCCCTATTAGTAAGTGTTAATAAATACCAACCCACAAGAAATGTTCATGGGCCCTAGACCACGGGCCACCCAAAAGCCATCCTGAATCCCAACAGGCTTTCTTTATCACCAAGGTCCATTCAACTATGGCAATGTGCCCACCAATGTCACAGAAGCACATGACTAGAGAAAGTGCAGCTGCCACTCCACAGGAGAGAAGCCCAGAACCCTGGCACAAGACCCATTACCTTTCAGAATCCCTGTTCGGGTAAGACCTGGCGAGCGGTGACACAGCGTGGCTGAGCACGATATACGCATAGTCAAACACCTGCTTCACCTGCATGGCCCCGTAGGAACTCCGCCCGACATCGTTTCCTGGAACGAAAGGCCACCGTCAGACTGCTTCAGACCTGAACATCACCTGCCGTTCCCAACTTCTCCGGCAAGGCACTGGGAATGGGGTCTCATCACTAAACTCCAGCTTCAGCGGCTCACACAACAGGCACGTGAGTGCGCCACTGAGCTGCTTCTGACTGCAGCACCTAGCTCACGGTACGGAAGTGCAGACAGGCTCAGTGTGCATCAGATCCACATGACAGTCTACTACCACAAATGGGATCCTGACAGTTCATGAGCTCTGCTAAGTCCCCAGGGGCAGAAAAAGAAAAAACCCACAAGGAAACCCACCACACCACAAGGAGATCCATGACATCCTGACCACCACCCAGCAGTGTGGACCTGCCATCACAACCACCTCATGGGTAATTCCTGACAGTGTCCCAGCGTGGCGGGGTAGTTCGCCTGGGCACACTGTCAGAACTGGTGAAGTATGCTCTTCAAGGAAGAGGGCAGTTGGAAGGAACCTCACAGAGCAGACCAACGAAGCCTTCACTAGAGCCAAGAGGAACTTTAGCGTTCACTCCGCACAGGCAGAAGGTACGGACTGTTTCGGGAGGACACTGGAATTTCATTTCCTAGAGGAAATGTTCAGGTAGCGAACAGCAGTGATGCAGGCACACTGAAACCAACACCTGAGGACAAGGGTGTCTCCAGCATGATGGTCCAGCAGACACTCGCACACGGCACTCCCAGGAAGCCACACCTCCCCATGTATGCAGTCTGTCATGCCACTTACAGACAGCTGAGTAGAGCTGTCAGTAATTTTCTTTCAGCAGATTTTTACAGAAATCAATCTCACCCTAGAAGCAATGAAACACTATTAAAATGATCATTGCATTTTAGGATAATAAAATAAATAAGTAATAAACAGGAATACACACAAATGAAACCACAACCCGGGGTGTGGGAGTGTAGTGAGGGACAGGTTCCCTAATGTAGGGGTGTGGGGTTCAGTGAGGAGGGTCCTAATGCAGGGGTGTGGGGTGCAGTGAGGAGGGTCCTAATGCAGGGGTGTGGGGTGCAGTGAGGATGGTCCTAATGCAGGGGTGTGGGGTGCAGTGAGGAGGGTCCTAATGCAGGGGTGTGGGGTGCAGTGAGGACGGTCCTAACGCAGGGGTGTGGGGTGCAGTGAGGAGGGTCCTAATGCAGGGGTGTGGGGTTCAGTGAGGAGGGTCCTAGTGCAGGGGCGTGGGGTGCAGTGAGGACGGTCCTAATGCAGGGGTGTGGGGTGCAGTGAGGACGGTCCTAATGCAGGGGTGTGGGGTGCAGTGAGGAGGGTCCCCTGACGTAGAAAGCCTGGGAGGCACCTGCTCCGCAGACCCCACTGCCCATGCAACCCCATGAGCACAGGACAAAGCAGCGAGGACCTGTGGTATCACTGCATCCTGTCAGCTGCCCATCCCTGAGCCCCTCACCAGCGCAGGCATCTCACCCCAGAGACGCTCAGCAGGCGCATGCAGAACTGAACAGTAGCATCAGACAAGAACACAATCACACAGGAATCTGCAGCGCGGCTTCATCAACTGACCAAGATTTGAAGGCCAGCCGTCACCACGGCGACACAAGCCATGGGAGTGGGGCTGGGAGAGGTCCAGCAGGCCACCCAGGAAGCACCGTTCCCAGGACACAGGAAGGCACCGGGAGAAACACCCGGCGGAGACGCCGCACTTACTGGCACAAGCTTCTTCCCAGATTGAGTGGTTTCGTAAGGATGCAGGATTAACCTTCCCTAATTCTGGTTCACACAGTGCAAACCCTTTAAAAGGCAGTAAACTAGCTAGACAAGGCTCCTCAAAGTGCCACCACTGAGGTCTGCGGACTCAAGAACCAGCACTGCGCTCCCAGCCGGAGGAGTAGGCTCACCAGGTAACAGGGGGTCCTCAATGCACAGCATCGACGGTCGGTACCCACTGGTCATGGCTTTCATAATCTCTTCTTTGGCGATATAGGCACCTCCTTCTTTTATTCTAATACCAGTTTTCAAGTAATTAAAATTTCTTCCATAAAGTTCAAAAAATTCTACAAGAAGCATTCCGAGGTTTTCGTCAGCTCTCCGGGCGTCAATTCTTGGATGTAACTGTAAAGGCAGCACAGCCACAGACATAGGAGCTCAGGGTACATTCTACAGACACTCACCTGGCGGCCTCTCCAGAGTGACAGGAGTCCCCACTCGAGCCCCAGGCCACCCGTCAGCCACTCAGACCGCGACTTCCAAACCCAGGCATCGAACTGGCCCCAGGCTGCCCAACAGTAGGCACGTTTTCAGTCTGTACAACTGCCCCTCACATTACTCTCACCATCCTGAAATGCCACCAATAGGTGGCAGGATGACACTGAACAGAACCACACAGCACATGAACCAGACTGTGAGCGGACTAAGCGTAACTGCACAGATCTCACATGCTGCTTTCATACACACCACTCTCTCTCCAAGGAGCCAAAGGGTCTCCTTCTGAGCCCTGCCCACTGTCCCCTGCCAATCCGCAAGTGCGGTGACGTGCGGCCAGCACTAAGGAAGGAGCGTAAGCAGCCCCCGTCAGTCACACTGGCCACACTCCAAGCACTCGAGGGTTGTGTATGGCTCAGTCTCCTTAGCCACGCAAAACTCTGTCCTTTGCACAATTCTAGATGGTGACGGTCAAGTCTCACTAACACACTAGTCTGGCAGCACAGGGCTGAAGCATGCAGCATGGCTCCCCGGGAGATCCCTGTGACATCGGAGCTCTGGGTTCCTAGATCTAACCTCTTCCAAAGAGCAGGGCATTCTGCCTGAGTCAAATCGGATGCTCCAGTCAGCCCAGTCCAGGGCCTGACTGCCTTCCCTCAGGCAGCTGTGAGATGAGCATGATGATACACCAGGTCCAGCCTGAGGCAGCTGGGCTAACACAGGCACAGAAGGTGGAGAGGAAACAGCAATCCCAGCCTGTCTATATGGACCTGTGAGGCCTGGACCCCAGCAACAAGCACACCAGGAGGCCCTGGGAACCCCCTCTCAAGGTGACATGCACATCCTAACTGTTCTTACAAGATAACTGAAATGTGTTACCTCAAATCAGGGTACTCAGGAAATAAAAACAGAGCCATTCAGCTCACAGTAATGTCCCACACTTGGTGTGCTATGAGGCTGCACCATTAGATTAGAACAGGGTGGGCTGGGCGGAGCTCACAGCTCAGCACTAAAAGCTTCTCTGCTGTCACATCTCCAGGACATAAGCTTCAGGGCCCAAGTCTGGGAGCCAAAGCTCACACACAGCCCTCTCGAGCTGTAGTTTAACTTGCAGGCTAACAACGTCACTGGAATTGATAAACCCTCACCAAATGCAAAGGAAAATCACTGATATACATGGGGACATATACTTGGGTGGCTAAAATATTTTTATTTAGCAATTTTTTTCTCAAGCAAATGTAAATGTAATAGGATTTTAATTAACTTGGGTACTATTTTATACATGTGAAATTGTCAGCAGAGACAAAAGCACATACCCGTAATCTCAGCACTTAGGAGCCCAAGGCAGAAAAACTGTTCCTAGTTCAAGGGCAGCCTGGACTACCTAGTGAATCCAGGTCAGTCTGGCCTGTAGAGTGAGAGATCGGTGCGGACAGGCCTCCCGTGCTTCACTCTCCAAGGTAAACAAAGACGACACCTAACTCAAGACACCAACCCCAAGGCTTGCCAAGCAGAGTGCCTCACAGACGTAATCTCAGCCCCAGGGAAGCTGTCCAGAGGACTGTCGTGGGTCCAAGTCAGCCTGGGCTACACAGTAAGTCCCAGGCCATCCACGACTAGAGCGACTTGATCTCCAAAACCAAACGAGAAAAACATAGAAGGAACTTTCTCCATCTTTTCCCCAGGTTGGTACCCGCCCTTTATTCTGAACGTGTTTGGGGACAAACTGCAGATCAGTACCAATGAAAAAGGCTTTTTATGATTTATATATAAATAAACCAACTAACTCTTGCTCTCTCTCACTCTGAATGCACAATATATGTGTCTCAACATACAAAAGCTTCCTGGAGCTCAGACGGACATCACCTGACAGAAGTCAGCCACAGAATCAAGCTTCTGGAGCAACACTGACCAAGACACCATGCCTTGAGCCAGCCAGCCAGCAGCAGGAAGTGAGCTGCTCCGCCCATGGTGAGGGTCGCCACGTACGTCGAGGACGGTTCAGAGGAGGCCCACTCACCTGCAGGAAGCTGATGGCCATTAAGATGAGGCTGTAGGAGCTGATGCCTCCCGTGAAGACTTCGTTCAGATCCCTCTGCAGGAGGAACTGCTTCAACACTAAAATCAAGTAGGGCAGTAGCGAGTACTTCTGTAAAGCCAAGCAAACACTACCGGTCAGCTGGTGTGCTTCTACAGGGACTCGAGACAGCAAGCTTCACATGAGAGAAGGAACTACTCATCCATCCTCTTGCCCCCACCTCCAAACAAGAACTGTTTCCAGCTTTAGGCTTAAGGATTCACACTAGCTGAGGAGTATGAAAAGGCCCTCTCTCCCCCAGTAGGGACTCGGTGGGACACAGGAGGACCCTGCCACAAGAGTCCTGAGCACCCAGAGGGAGGAAGCAGGTGCACTCGGGCTGTGAGCAGAAGGAAAGCAGGGAGGTTAGGACATGGGGAGAGGCTGATCCAGTGTCCTCTGGGGTGCAAGTGCTGCAGATCCAACGACAAAGTGGACGACAGACAGGAGACCCCAGGGCTCTGTTCAGGAGGGAGCCGTCTGCCTGACTGCCAACAGCCTGGTCGGAGCTCCGGAAGGCATCAGCTCAAGCACCAAGCCAATTCCCACACGTAGAGGCATTGAGGCCTCCAAAGGGAGGTGATCTACAGAAGGAATGTCCACCTCCACTTGTGAGTGTGGCCCTGAGCCGGGAACAAGGCTGTGCACTAACAGAAAGAACATTTCTCCCAAGCTCTCAAAAATGAGGCTCAATGTTAGTAAGTAGTTACTCCAAGTAAATCAGAAAAGCAGCTATGTACTTCCTGAGTTCCTCTAGAAACCCCATTAAAGGGTACTCATAATTGCATCGTCTGTATTACTAACAAGGCCCCATACCAAAGTTTTTAACATTCATGAGAAAAATGAGTACCAAGATCTCCCGTCCTGTCTTTACTGTGGACCTGTGACAGCGTACCTTCATGTAGTTCTTGATGAACTCAGCCGCCCGGACACCAGTCTCCATGTTAAAGCTGATGTCGACTTTGACTTCTGTCTCCTGGTCTGTGAGCTTTATGATTGGCACCTGTGAAGATTTAATTTAAAAAGCTGCTTTGACATCCACATTCTCCAGACAGCCATCCACCTTTCTCTCTCCACCAATGGGAATGAGCAGTCCTCAACAGCAGTACTAAAGAGAAGGGCTCTGTCAAGAGTTAATCTCAGTGGTCACTAGAGACCAAATGATGTCCATCCCCCTCCTCCCTCACAGCAGGATTTCCACCGCACCTGCTCCTACAGGCTGACTCTGAAGTGGGACAGCCAGAAGGGAACAGGAGCCTGAGAAAGAGGACTGGGGGTGGGGGTGGGGGGCTGACCTGCAATATGCACCCTACGAAACCATATCACACATGCTCAAAGATAAGCCCCATTTCTGCTTGGTAGACTTGGGGGCGAGGGGTCAGATACACTGAGAAATAAGCAGTAACACTACCATACTTATTATGGAGCAGCTGTTACAAACAGACAGGCTGCACCACACAACACCTTTGCACCCCAAGATCCGAATCCATGGATATCATGGGAGGATACTCAATAGAGAGCACCCCCTCAGGGTGGGATGGGCCCACCTTCAAGTGACTGAGGACAGGGTACACAGTACTCAGTGCCCAACACACTGCAGCAGGGAGGTCAGGAGGACCAAGAGGCCACACCCACCATTCCAAGTTACTGTCTGGACCTTGAGAAGTTCAAGGGCTCAGGGACGTCAGGCCAGAGTGAGTTTACACCTGAATAACAAATCAACAGCACATCCCTCATGCTTCCTGCACCGTCAAAGGGCCTCATTTTCATCAACTGCACAGACATGAGGGGCCACTAAGAGGAGAGGCCAAGTGTCTAAGAGAGCTGGATTTCTCCCTGGATGAGAGATCAAAGAGAGAGTAGACATGGCAAAGATGACGGACCATGGCAAGGACCCGGCTACAGGAAGGTGCCACTTCTGCCCAGGTGTTTCATGGAGCCCAGTCAATCTCGTTGCTGTTCACTGTGGGTGGTTCCTCGGGTGTTGAATGTGAAAGGGGATAGTGCCTGCCTGTCAGCTGAAGGACTGAGTGCAGCATGGCCCTCAGCAGCTTAGGAGTGGCCAGGGTCTTGACTGAGCAGAGCCCAGTACACAAAAGGCAGGGTGGGGAGCCATGCCTGGAGGGACTGCTGCTGGAAAGGTACAGGTACTCTGTGAAGATGCCCACTCCTCGACGGGCATGCTTACCATCTAAACAGGCCAAAGTGCGCAGAGCAGGCAGGCACCAGAGAGAAGCTCACAGAAGGGGAAGGAAGCCCACACTTCCCCATGCAGACCCTGCAGAGGAGGTGACACCCCAAGTCCAAGCTGGAGCAGCAGCCCACGGGGCAGAGCTGGTAACTGGTGCACACCAGGGCCAGGGACCGGGCCACTGTAACAAACCCCACAGGACACCTTCCAGCCTGAGATGGGCCTTTCCTATGCCGGGGAACTCTAGGTGCTCCCCGTCCAATGTAAGCTAGCTTGCTTCTTTCCCATATAAAAGCACACGGTCACACCGCCCCCAACGCTGCACTCCTGGTCAACAGCACAAGGGACACAGGATTCTCCCTAGCTGTCTTCCTCTTCCTCCTACTCCCTGGACGGACATGGACACAATTCTGTCTCTTAGGGCCAAGTATGAAGACCTCACAAATATCAAGAAGTCCAACTATCACCAATCAGCTCCTCAGCTGGCTAAGCATGAAGATGTCACTTGCATGTTTATACCACCAGAGGACAATCTTCAAAATGTAGGCAGTAACCACTGTCAGGAAAATCAGAGGACACTGGCACCATGTGGAGAGGGACTCCTACTCAGGTGAGCTGTCAGGCCCCATACTCACGGTAGCTTTGTCAAGGACTTTGATGGAGCACGGCTCGGCCACGTTGTGCTTCCGAAGGGCTTGTTCCAACAGCTGTAATGGAGGACGCTCCCACTTCCCAAAGACAACCAGGTCTATGTCACTGGTCAGAAGAGAAATACACCTTAGTCACAACACACTTCACCAGGAGGTGACTTCCCACGTGGGAGGCCAGCTCCCCAGCATGCTGCCTCTGTACCAAAAGGTAATAGCAGAATCCCATCAAGCACCTAAGCACTGAGCACTGAATGCAGCTCTTGAGCCATGTAACTATGCAAAACAAGCGTGAAGAGGCCCTCAAAGCCCCCGGAATCAAAGGGGTGAAATGAATATACGACTTTCCAGACAGCTATGCTACTGTTACTGGTGCTCGCATGATGGCCCAGGGATCCCTGAGGACTCTGAATCTGCTCGGCTTCTAGGGCCCGTTAGTTCTGACATCACAGCCTCTTTAGCCTCCAAATGCTAAATAGCTTGTACAACAAAAACCACCTACACATTATGCACATGAAAATACAAACCCAGAAGACAATTTTAGGATGTAAATCTGACACTTCTTCCACATAAAGATCTTCATGAAATACTGTTCAAACAGAATTGTGCTTGACTATTCATTAAAGCTTTCTATTCACTACTGCAACCACATCCCCATGCCCCAGTGCTTGTTCTAAAACCAATGTTCATCCCATCCCCAAAGACCCCCACTGAAATGTAGCTGCCAACAATCATCACCAATGCCTTTCTGAGGTGAGCAGATTCTGGGGGCGCTGTCTTAGTGACCAAATTAGAGGATCAAGACCACTGACACATAGGTGGGTTAGTTACACAAAGGAAGCATTTGATCCAGTTGTGGCCTCTGGATCTTGGACTTTTCAGTCCCTAGAACTGAGAGCCAAATAAGCTTCTATGGTTTACA